TTCGCCGAATACTCGTGCAAGTTCCTCGCTCGTTGCTACTTCTACTTTGCTAAACCAGAACTTTCAATACTTCTCTCACAACGGGTAACTTACTTCCCGTGTCGTTAATTGAAGAAACACTTCACTGAATCTGTACTATCTCGCGGACGACTGACTAGAACGTCTGTTCGACGTCGAATACTCCTACCTAGTAGTCGTTGCAGCGGCAAACAATATCTAAGCTAATTTTAACGAAATATTGGCACGGCGAACGATGATCAACATGCTACTCGCTCGGCGATCGGTGATAAAAGAGGAGCTGCTTACTCGACGGTCGGTGGAAAAAAAAGGGCTTCCGCTTGCGGGTTCGCGTATTTATCGCGCGGCGCCTGGGGAAGTCTCATGGTGGCTGCTTCCCCCTCTCTTCCAAACCCTTCACAAAGGGAAAAACATTGGTTGCTAGGTGCCCTTCGTTTAGTACGGGCAAACGGATACCAGGGCCCGTGCGTTTTACCGAACCTCTTGTTTTCTGCGCCTGTTATCCTCAGCTGCCTCCATAGTGTTCACCACATATGAGACGGTGGTGTTATAGTATTGCACAATCCCATAACGCCACAATATATATATATATTATATATATATATATATATATATATATACTATATATATATATATATTATATAGACAGTAATGAAAATTTACTAAGTCCCAAATAAAGTTGCCCAATGAATTGAACAGGCAAACAGCTGATTACAATTTCAAGGTAGCAACACACTCTGTTGCCACAATTTGGTACGGCTTCCATTTGCGACTTTGTCGATTTCACCCATTATTGATATCGATAGTGCCATCGATTGCTTTAACGCTCGAGTCGGCACCAACTCCCTAATGGCATAACGGACGATATCGAGTGCGAGGAACTACCAGTGAAAGGACAAAACAAATCCTTTAAACTAGTAATACCGATAAGCTTTGCGAAGGCAACGCAAGAACCACGTTTGTGGCCAGCAGGGGGTCTGGTGCGTCTTTTTCGTCTCCCAGGGAAAAATAATGAAGCCGTCCGCCTCCCATAAAGCAGCGAAATACCTCTAATGGAACAATGAAGGATTAAGGAACGTACCCGCCCTGACCCGTTCACACATCCTCCAGAAAACGGAATTTGCACTATTCACGGAAACGTTTTTAACTAGCATCTGTCAATAACCCGCATTCTATTGGGTACATCGTTTGGAACAAGAACAAGGACACCCAATAGCAGTAGTCTCCGTTCTTATATGGTCGTGGATGACACTCATCTCCACAACTGCATAGACGGAATACGCTTTAATGGTAAATTGCTAACCTCTCATCATCATTGCCTCATACTTTCAACCACATGAGGCAATAGACATAATATAAGAGCTGGGAATCCATTTGAACCAATGCGAAAAAGGAAAACCAATCCTCATAGCAGGATACCTCAATTGCAGGACAGGTAAAGTAAATTATACATACATTACGACCCAAAAGATCGCCTAACACTCACTATATTGCAATAAGGGACTGGAAAGCCCATTTGCCAAACTTTTGAATTAAAAAGATGAAATATCACAATTAAACGCACGTCAGAACAAAGAAACAAGCACATGGTCACCCTTCTCAGACACAGAAGTGAAGAGAGAAATCAAGAAGATGAGAAAAAAGTGGCAGGTCCGGTCAACATTCTTAACGAGCACATCCAAGATACAGCGTCAATACTATACGCCCTGTAGACAACACTCCTAAAAAAGTGTGTAGAACGTGACAACATCCTTGAACAATGGAAGAACTGTCTAATCAGGAAACTGGACGAAGGGAAACGTGACGGGGCCTTTCAAGTTGCTATCAAAATTAATCCTTCAATATACAGAAAAGTATTGACACAGCCCTACCACACGATCAATTTGAGTTCAGATATAACAAGTCGACCCTAAGCGCAGTCGTAATTGTACTGACGGACATAGAACAAGCGCACAAAGAAAAAAAAGCTGTCTTCACAGACTTAAAAAGGCATTCGACCATATGGACAGAGGGTAGCTAAAAACATAACTAACAGAAACTAGGAGACAATTACGCTTGGAAACGTCTCTTTGAAAAACTCCTGCCTTACAACTACGGGCAATTATGCTCAAATTCCATACTACAAACAAACGTGTACTACAGGAAGACCCAATGATCCCTCTGCTTTCTAACCTAGTTGCAGGAGACACTAAAAATCGCAGAAGGCGAAACGTTTGGAGCGTTAACATACGTGTACGCAGATCACGTGTCTGTCGGCGCACCACATCTGGAAAGCCTACAGAAAACGGCGGACCTCATCGCGGAATGGTGCGAAGAATATCATTTTCAAATTAACGCAGGAAAACAGACTATGATCTTCAGAAGAGGAGGAAAGACATCAGACAGAAAATATCCACTAAAGCGAAAGCAAAATTCAACTTGTCTTTGACTTCAAATATTCCATTTCATATTCAACTAATCTTTGACTTCAAATATTTAGGGATTACTCTACAACTGAGCGGCATATGCTTTACAAAGAACGTACTACAAAAATCGGCACAAGTAATGCGGATAATCAGCGGCATAAAATATATCCGAGCACATCCGAGCACTGGATACATCATTGAATCAGTTTAAAGAAAAAAAATACCGATTTTGGTATACTGCATAGGACTTACTAGGCCTCATTTATCAGAAGGCAACCTCACAATCCTAGATAAGGCAAAAGCCACATATTTGAAAGAGCACTAGGACTTGCAGAATCTACCAGGTCACGCCATCATATTTTCTGGCAAAGCAAACTTTCCTAGTAGAGGACTTGACATTACAATTCTTGCCAATTACTGACGCTTACGAGGGGCTCCTCTTAAGACTAAACAAAAGAATGAAAAAAAAGAAAGAAAAGAATTTTGGTCAGAATTTTTTGCTCTACCCCTGGCAGGTACAGACTGTTGACACTCATCTAATCGGGAGTTTGAAAGTAACCGGAATGAGGTATGGTGACGTTTAAGCTGTTGATTGGAAGAAACTGTCAACATTTTATACCTGCCTTGGGCATAGTTGGAAAATTTCCAGTATAGTACGCATTACAGACCATGTTGTAGCGCCACACCTATTCCCCTCCTATTCTATATTCCTCAATGATTGGGGCTAGTGACCTCTATATTTATAAAGTTGAGATAAGTGGTTGGGCACTTCCGGATTCCATCCCTGTACTTGTGTTTTTAATTCTCGTCGCGCGAGACCTTGTCTTAACGATGGAATATCTCATGGTAGTTTGCATCTTTCTTTGTCATGCCGCTGGATGACGCATGATGGTGAAGGTATCGAGCAGTGCTGGCGATCATGCGACATCTAGCGACACGATCTAGAAAGACGCGAAATACGGTGAAATATTCCATGGTGAAGACTAGGCCTCGTGCGCCAAATAAAAAATCTAAGTATATAATCATTTAAATCGTTGCTAGCCAGCCCCGCTCGTTGCGCGCCGCTACAGTACGAGATGAAATGTGATATCTTGGGATTACTTTTCAAGACTCGAATTTGAGTTCAGTGTTGATCAACTCTGTTCGTAGGCCTCGAATTTTGTAAACAGTATTACTTAATTTTTCAGGTTTGTAGTAATAGTAGGCCTACTTGTTTGTGTCGTATTTCTCCGATCGAGCGCCACTTTTGATCTGCCTATTAAGTAACATTACAACACTTCATTTTAAATTACTATTGGTATTTTCTTTTAACTTCAATTTCTTATTTTTCATGCATATTTTTCCTGATCATTTTAATACTGCAATACTCGTGGTTCATGGAGTCTGCTCTTCAACGGGTTGAAGTTCTAAGTGATTTGAATACTTACTATGATTAATGTTTTTCAGGTTGAAAATGTCACCTCAGCAACTGGTTTTAAGTTGGAAAGATCACAATGGTGCATTGGTGTCTGTTTTTGAGAATCTTTTGAAAAGGAATACTTTAGTAGACTGTACTCTGGCCGCAGATGGTCAATATGTCAAAGCCCATAAAGTTGTGCTTTCTGCTTGCAGTTCATATTTCGAGGTGAGATTTAAAAGATTTTCTTGCAAATTTGAGATGCTTTCATATGTGAACCAGCTGAAGAATGTCAAATTAATTACCATTTTTTAAAATATTTTGAAGTACATATGTAACCAGCCCTCCATTATTTTTCATGTCTGACAGTGATCACCTTCATTGATTAAGTTGACTGAAATTTATAGTAACTAATCAATGTCTGCCAGTATTTAAAATTTGTGTGCTTAAGAGAGGGCAAAATACCTCATGCGAGTTCAGACATGCAGTGTTTGCTGCAACCATAGGATGCATCCATGGGGGTATTTCCATATCCAGCAATTGTCTCTTAGGGTGTTTTTCTTGACGGCATCTTATAAATAATGCTAAAGGGATCATAATTTTGAGATACATTGCATATGTAAAATGAGCTCAGACTCCATAGTTAAGTGACAGCTTGCAGTGTATTGGGCAATTATTTGGTTGGGAAAAATAAATAAATAAAAATACAAAAAATTAAAATAAATTTGAATGCTCGTACTAACATATTAATTGTTATATTTAGTTTTAGTAAATGGCATTTTGTTAGTAGCCTATGTTCATTTTTGCAGTGAATCCAGACTTTGTTGGTTTTAATTTTGTTCAGCACATTCAAATTAATTTTTTGCTATAAATGGTAACGAGGTATTGAATGTAAGAAATTATTCCTATGTATAAGAAATAAGATTCTGTTATTATAGAATCTTTTGGGTGTTTGTGTTTTGCAAGTAGTGGAGTAGAAAACCGCATTTTGTCTTTGCTTAGAAGAGAAAATCCAGACAATATAAAAAGTGTAGGATGTAATAATTTGATCTTTTGATCAAATTTAACTTGTGATTTCTTTGCTTTAACGTACCTTAAGAAGAGAATTCCAGCGTTGTATCTGACAATCAGTTTGTTTCGGGTTTCCTGAAATGAACTTACAGAAAAATAGTGCAAAAAATTTTTTACTGTAAAATGTTATATTTCATTGAAAACTTGTATGTTCCAGTTTTCTTTATTGTTCTTGCAATGGTTAACTCCAAAAATATCACATTTCCCTTGAATTATTTTTCAATACAGATGGAAGCAGCATGCTCTTTACAAATGTACATTCCCGCCTGAGATACGGTATAAAATTCTGGGGAAACTCATCATGTAGTACTCGGACCACTCGGACCTTTAGATTGCAAAAGAAAATTATTCGAATAATGGAGAAATGCCATCCGTGTTAGCCTTGCAAGCCTCTCTTCATTGAGCTTGGAAACTTACCACTTCCTTGCTTATAAATTTACGAATCTGTAATATTTGTCAAAAATGACTTACGTAAAGGTGGGAACATGTTTTCATGCAATTCTGATATTTATAATTATAACACACGTCGTAAAAATCACGTCATGGAGTGTCAGTATCAACAGCTCACTATCAGAAATCCACCTACAATGCATCAACTTTACTTCACAACACACTGCCAGATGACATTTAAAAAAATTAAAGTCGGTTCACAAATTTAAGTTAAAAGTAAAATCTTTTGCCGCTTGCGTAACTGTTTCTATGCAATTAGAGACTATACTGATTATCAAAAAGAAAAATAAGTTTATTAACCAAAACAATAACAATGATATATAATGATTTAGTTTATATTTGTATTGTATAATTTTTTAAAAGACTTAATATGTTGTAACAAATAATGTATTTCAGCTTCCGGGTCAATGACCCCCATCTCGATCAGGTTTTTGCCAGTTTCCCTGATCCATTGAGCAAATCTGAGATGGCCTCTAGTTTTGCTTCTGGACGTAAATGTAGCTTCACTATGCGTACGTTTTGTTGAACTTCCTTTTGCTTGTAATGGTAGAGTAGAGGTAAGGGCGAGTTGCTATTTTGTTAGCAGTGCAGAAAAATCATACTTGCAATTCGTGTACTGATGCAAATAAGTTTCCTTTAACTCAGAAACGAATATGACTATTTTTCAAATATTGCTAATCTTAAGATTTTTAAAATTTATTTTATTTCTTTATTTAAGTTGAACTTTTACTCACCTTTCAACTATATGTAGTTAAAATGACAGGAAGGGATTCTGGAACTCAAGATAACATGCACAGACATTATTTATTCCCCTACGTCACATACAGTTTTTACTGTTTTTTTTGACTGAATAAATCTAACCTAATCCAATCGATAGCTGAACTACAGGGAAGGAGTTTGTAACTTGGTTCCACGTATTCTGTCCTAAGGAAAGTTGACATTGGAAGTGAGAAAGAAATGTTTAGCTTTTCCTGTTTACTTACTTTTTAGTTAGTTTTGCATTACCAAATTCTAGAAGTAGGACAATATTAGTTGAGACCCAAAATTAGAGATAGATGGCATTCTTTTCAAAATTAATATTGATTATAATTGATGATATTGATAATTATATTATATTTATAAAATCTATTTGTTTGTTAACTATTCTGAACTTGTCATGCTGCTGGTTAAGGTTATTCAGAATGTACATATAAGTGGTTGGGTAATAGACTGAGTAGTCTGTTTTATTTTCATTCTCAAATGTTTTCTTGTTTTTCTTTCTAGTTGTTATTTAGTCAGGAAAGTGAGAAGAATCCAATAGTCATTCTCAAAGATGTGAAATTCCAAGAACTGGAAGCTGCTGTTAATTTGAAGTTGAAGTTTGTGAAGATAGATTGGCAGCTTTTCTGGAAGTTGGCAGATTCTTTGCAAATAAAGGGGTTAGGCAGCGATGGAAAATCTCATGTAAGAACTTCCTTGAATTTACATATATTTTTAGGGTGCTAATTCTTAACTGAATCTTTATTATTTAAAAGCATTACCTTTTGGAATTTTTAAATTTTAAGACTCACAATAATATATCAGTAAGTTTAAGTCTGTAGATATAAATTAATTTTGAAGCCAACTTGCTTATTATTTTACAGAAAATTAATTGGATTTTCCTGTTATTGTGTAGATTTTTTTCTCTTTAAAATATATTTATTGGCAGTACTAAAATTCTGCACGAGCACAGAGGGATCTGCATGTGTATGGAAGAAGTAAATAAATAAATAAATACATTTATTTTAGATCTTTCAATAAGTATTGTTACGAGATAAAAACTGATAAATCAGTCCACCATGGATAAGTAAAAGATTTTAACAGTGTGTTATCATTGGGAGTCTTCCATGGTTTAGGACGTTTTTCGTTATTTTAACCATTCTGAAACCTTGCGTCAAAACTTCATGAAAGGTTCGGCTTGAAACTCTAAATAATTAATTGTATAATAGGTTCTTGGAAACTAAGCCAATGTTTTGTAACGAGGCCTTCCCATAAACCTGCTGCAATCTTATTTTTATTGTCTGTTGATAGGGAATAGTTGTGCAAACAGATCAACATAGTGAGTGTGGAATTAGTTTTTAAAAAAATAGGGCATGGCTATCTTTGTTCAAGGGTTATAAATACAGAAAATAGTAAATGAATAAATACACATACCCACACATTTAAATTTAAAATTTATTATTATATATTTAATATTATAAATTTCATTTTTTTATAAAAATCTTTAGTAATATTAGTTCTTACGTGTGTAAAATTTCCTTTAGTTATACTATATTCTGGAATCTACTGTTGAATCCACCCTGACCTCCCTAGTTTGTTCTGTGAGCACTGGAATGGTTATGGTACGAGTCTGTCATCTGTTTAATGACAATTAATATAAAGCTGCAATTATCAGATTTCCAGTTGCCCAAGGCTTAGTATTATCGGAGAAAGAGACAAAACAATACATTGACAAATGGAATAAAGAAGTGAATACACTATCTGCTGCAGTAGTTCTGTACATCAGCATGTGCGTGAGGTGATGCTACTCAGATTCTAAGAATATTTGGACCTGTATTTAACAACTAATGGTCATCAGATTCATGAGAAAAAATAAAAAAATAAAAATCTAGTGATGTAGTGGGGTTAATCATGGAACTTCACTGTGATTTTCGCAATTCAGCCCCTGGCTGGTATCAACTGTTGGATAGTTTGATCCAATTGTGTACTTGAACACCTCCATAGTGAAGTCACTATGGTGATGATCAAGCTCCCAATTGGATGAAACTAGAAAGGGGCAGAGTTGAATAAATCACTGTATATAGTTGTATGTTTCCAAATTAAAAAAATAAGTGACGAAGTAAATAAAAATAATACATTCGCGTTACAAAATCGTGTTACATCTTATTTGGGCCAGATTTGACTACATCTGCAATTTGGAAGTTTAGTGAAAGTATTTTATGTAATTTCAGGATGCCAGAGGAAAGTATTCATCACAGAAGAGCTCAAAGACTGCAGTTCCTCCGAAAGCACATTCCAGCAGGAAGGAAGTCACCCTTACGGAAAGTGAGAATACTGAGAGTTGCATCACCCTTGACAGTGATGAAAGTTCTTCTCATCATCATCTACCTCATAGAGAAACATCAGGTTCTTCCCCCATTTCTTCTGCACTTGCTGTTGCGCCTTCCTTCAGCGTACCGTCAGCTTCTACCTCATGCCCTGTTAGAGCAGAAACTAACCGTGTTGGAGACAAACTGGAGAAGAATCAGTGTTCGTCCCCTTCTGTGTCTACTTTCCCTTCAGGAGATACTGTGCCATCAGATGTGAACACTGTAATTAAAGCTGAACCTGTGACCGATACTTATTTGGACGAAAAGTCGGATGAGACGGAGAGAGACTTTGATGATGTGACAATGATGGAAGATCAGGAAGACTGGGATGATCCTAATATTGAATCTATGGGTGATGACCATTCTTCAAATCAACATGATCCTGGTGAGTTCATTTTATTTGGATGGACAGACATCCTCTTTATCTGGGCATGTCCTCCTTTTTATACTTTTGTCCAGGCTGTATTTTTTAAATCACTAAATTCCCTCCTTTTTATAACCTCTTGCCTGATAGTGCAATAGTTTGAAATGATGTTATGACTCTCATTTACACTAATATACCCACTTGCATTGAAATATTCTCTCTATTCTGTCCAAATTGAGTTTTACTCATTCTTGTTCTTAGAAATTTTGTGAACAGTTGGTATATTCTGCCAATAATTCAAACAACTCAAGGTGGTTCCTCTTATGCTTCATCCAAGAGTTTTCATATTACCATGGAATACCAACTCATTATATACAAACTTCTGCGGCAGAATTTTCCATTAGAGCGTTTTTACATTTTCAATATTGAATTTGTAAAACAATGTACAGAATTTGGAGATTTTTTATAATAATTTATATATTTCATCTTTATAACAACTATTGCAAACATTTATCTATAAATAAAGCAAATAAATGATGCTGATATTATGTAGTGTTGCGAGCCATCATAGAAAAGAAGAAATAAGATATAAATTTGATAATATTTCAAATTAAAATGCATGAATGCAAATATGGTATTCAAATGAGAAAAAAATGAATCTGATTTACATTGAATGACTTTTGTTAAACACACAATTTTTCCCATGTTTTGTATTTGGTGGAGGCCTTTGAGCTGCCGTCCATCTTCCCCAACCTTAAATCCAACCCTGTCCTACTGTCAAAACGGGAAGGAAGGATTCTGAAGCTGAATGCGCATGTTTGTGTAGTTGGAATATACATCTGTATTTTAAATAATGTTTTGTTACTTTTGGATAAATCGTTACTTTCATAAAAATATAATGTAACATGAACCCAGTATTATGTGTCACATTTTACTTTGTTATTTAAAATATTGTGGATTGTCGTCTTTTTCTCCAAATGTGCTTGTTTTATTTAGCTATTGTCATCCTTTTCATTGATGAGAATCTGGTCCCCTTACGTTTAGTTGACTTGGAGGTAGTGGGCAGAAAAGGCCTTGATGATAAAGTGTGAAACTTGAGGAATTTCTATGAAAGGAAAGAGTCTGCACCATGGAGAATTTCCTCTTCTAAGTTGGTATTATAAGCAGTGACTAACATCTTTAAACAGTGTTTTATTAGAATTAAGATTTCTATATGACGTGTAAATAGACAGCAAGTTGTAATTTTTAATTTATTATTATGTTTTGTTTTGATTTTTGGATGTAGATGAATATTTGTCTCCAGATTTTCTTCTTATTTGTATGCCTCAGGCTTGCCTTCGAAGCCTATGCCATATACAGGGCTTGAGGGTCTTTCTGTTGGAGTGATTAGTGTTTGTGTGAAGATCCTTGGTATTATACAGCATTGTAGGCTTTCAACGCCGGAGTCAATATTCTTCATGTCTTCCGGCTGATGGTCCGTGGTCCAATTGGCTTTGAGCTGCCAAACGTTCGCCCACGACTGCCGGTGGGCATCTTCAGTGGCGAGGTCTCGGCGAAGTGTCCAGACGGTGGCTGACTTAGCAACGTGCCAGTCGCCAGTCAGTCACCGTCCCGGACACTTCTGTATTTTTCTTCTGCATTTTTCTTCTGAACTCTGCTTTCCATCCTTCTGTATTTTCGTATTTTTTGTATTGCTTCATCATGAACTAGCCAGAAATTACACTCGACAACCTATTTGGTATATTTCTATTGGTTCTATCACAGTATTCTTGGTAGATTATATGTCTTCCAAGTGTTCCTGCTGTGGTCATGTCTTTAGTGGTCTGCCACTATCTCTGGTCCCTATTGGTTTGTACTTTCAGATTAATTTTGGAAATCTGTTGTTGTTCACTCATCAAGTATTGTAGTTTACTCTTCGCGATTCCTGGTGCGTTAGAAATTTTGTGAACAGTTGGTATATTTCTGCCAATAATTCAAACAACTCAAGTGGTTCCTCTTATGCTTCATCCAAGAGTTTTCATATTATCTGGAATACCAACTCATTATTATACAAACTTCTGCGGCAGAATTTTTCCATTAGAGCGTTTTTTACATTTTCAATATTGAATTTGTAAACCAATGTACAGAATTTGGAGATTTTTTTAATAATTTTACTATTTCCATCATCTTTATAACAACTATTGCAAACATTATCTATAAATAAAGCAAATAAATGATGCTGATATTATGTAAGTGTGCAGCCATCATAGAAAAGAAGAATAAGATATAAATTTGATAATATTTCAAATTAAAATGCAATGAATGAAAATATGTATTCAAATGAGAAAAAAATGAATTTGATTTACTTGAAGACCTTTTGTTAACACACAATTTTTCCCATGTTTTGTATTTGGTGGAGGCCTTTGAGCTGCGTCCTTTCCCCAAACCTTAAATCCAACCCTGTCCTACTGTCAAAACGGGAAGGAAGGATTCTGAAAGCTGATGCATGTTTGTGTAGTTGGAATATACATCTGTATTTTAAAATAATGTTTTGTTACTTTGGATAAATCGTTACTTATAAAAATATAATGTAACATGAACCCAGTATTATGTGTCACATTTTACTTTGTTATTTAAAATATTGTGGATGTCGTCTTCTCCAAATGTGCTTGTTTTATTTACTATTGTCATCCTTTTCATTGATGAGAATCTGGTCCCCTTACGTTTAGTTGACTTGGAGTAGTGGGCAGAAAAGGCCTTGATGATAAAGTGTGAAACTTGAGGAATCTATGAAAGGAAAGAGTCTGCCCATGGAGAATTTCCTCTTCTAAGTTGTATTATAAGCAGTGACTAACATCTTTAAACAGTGTTTTATTAGAATTAAGATTTCTATATGACCATGTTAAATAGACAGCAATTGTAATTTTAATTTATTATTATGTTTTGTTTTGATTTTTGGATGTAGATGATTATTTGTCTCAGATTTTCTTCTTATTTGTATGCTCAGGCTTGCCTTCGAAAGCCTATGCCATATACAGGGCTTGAGGGTCTTTCTTGTTGAGTGATTAGTGTTTGTTGAAGATCCTTGGTATTATACAGCATTGTAGGCTTTCACGGCGGAGTCAATATTCTTCATGTCTTCCAGGCTGATGGTCCGTGGTCAATTGGCTTTGAAGCTGCCAAACGTTTCGCCCACGACTGCGGTGGGCATCTTCAGTGGCGAGGTCTCGGCGAAGTGTCCAGGACGGTGGTGACTGCAGTGCCAGTCGCCAGTCAGTCACCGTCCGGACACTTCTGTATTTTTCTTCTGCATTTTTCCTTCTGAACTCTCTTTCCATCCTTCTGTATTTTCGTATTTTTTGTATTACTTCATCATGAACTAGCCAGAAATTACACTCGACAACCTATTTGGTATATTTCTATTGGTTCAAATCACAGTATTCTTGGTAGATTATATGTCTTCAAGTGTTCCTGCTGTGGTCATGTCTTTAGTGGTCTGCCACTATCTCTGGTCCCTATTGGTTTGTACTTTCAGATTAATTTTGGAAATCTGTTGTTGTTCACTCATCATCTTTCCATCTCCTTTAGACTGTTCTGTTTCTTCTACTAATACATTGCATTTTCAATTTCCTTATTTTTTAGTCTTCTCTTGTGATTTCATGAGGTGTCTTAGAAATCTCATATGTGCCGCCTGTAGTTTTTGTTTGTCTCTATCTTTCATTACCCATTTGGTGGTAGTGCTGGTGTAATGGTTGCATATCAGATTGTTATACCAGGTTAGTGGGTTCAAAACCAATCGAAGCCGTGGATTTTTAAGGGCGAAAAAAAATCCTTCGTTAGCCTTCCTTCAGAGGGGAAGTGAATCTGGCTGTCCCATGTTAGTAGATTTACTTGCATGTAAAAGATCCTGAATAATGATGCCTCTGAGCTAAATTCAAAATCGCCTGTTTTGTCACCCAAGAATACCTCATTTCACGCTAGTGGTGAAAGGTGCGTAGTGAATTTGCCTGGTTCAGACGGAGTTTCTGTCTATTAATGTGGTCATAAGCCTTTGATAGTTAATCAATATTATAAAAGGTGGTAGATTCCTCCTTCTTTTTTCTACTAACATTGTAATGTAAAGATGGCGTCTTTAGTGCTTCTACCTTATTGTGAAAACTTTGGATAAAAAAGGCCCCAAACAGTGTCCACATGTATATTAAATTTTACCAAGAAATTAATGAGGAACAACTCTTAACATTTTATTCTAGTTATGTCAAAGGTCAGTTTGCCACCATTAAAGATTTGGTTTATGAAAGTTAAATGTTTGTTTCTAGATAAGGACAAAACATCTGCCCTCACAAGAAATAACCCATATCACTAAAAGATTTCAAGCTCTTATAAAAACACGGAGAATATGCCTAACATATTGAACACAAAAACCATTTAGAAAAGTGCCCCAGAACTGGCAAAATCCCAAGGTCCTGTGGGTCCTTAACAGTTGCAGCCAAATGAGGGGGATCAATGAGCAATACGAGTTCATATTTTTTTAATGTATCTTTGTTAAGGGAAGGAGGGCAGTTCAACATTGAGGTCTTTATTATTAGAACCTCTGTTAACTCTTAGTGATAGTTTCATCTTTTCACAGTAATTGGATGTTTAGAATAAATTTGAAATTGTCACATACTGAAACAATTTTTTTAATTCTGAAATTATACACGATTATTTATTCATAATCTGCTCGCCTTTTATACTAGTCAATTTAAAACTATTTTAATAACAACTATATGGAAAAAATATATCTTAGTTAGTTTATTAATCTGACTCTATGTTCTAAAAAATTAAATATTACTTACACGGGCAGATGTCCCATCCAGTTATGGACTAGGTGATTACTGAAATTTATTTCTGTGAAGAAAAACACAAGATGCGTAGATTTTGGGATCTATCTATTAATAAAAAATCAGCACTTCTTTTTTCATTACAAGTTACTTCATTTATTGCTTTAATTTCAAATGAATATATTACAAAATTTCCTTAA